AAATATGACTGCAAAAATAAGATCATTTCAATGCTTCAAATTTTATGAAGTACAAATAAATGAATAAATTCTTAAATATATAGACTCATAATATAATAACTTGCAAATATTATATGATTAGCATTGATGCTTCCCTAGAATTACATGCTTATTTAAGAGCACTTCCATCGGGGGTGGGATAGGCCGATACACAGCCAAAAAGATGGCACGGCGCCTAAGGAAGTCTCTCCAGCCCAACAGATTGCCTAGCACCCAGCCAAAGCTGGTCTCCAGGCCAGCCCAAAATTAACAGACCTTAGGACAGGCCCATCTGACACCAGCGTGGCGTTGAAGGGCAATTCAATTTTTTTTTTTTTTTTTTTTTTGCACCAAGCGTGTGAAATATAGGCGCACGTGGGCGCAAGTGGCCAACAAGTTTGCAAACAAGGGCTTGCATGCACATCGCACTCAAACCTCAGCCGGGGAGGCCACGTGGCCCGGCCTGCGCCGTTGCATTTCCAACAGCTAGTTTTTCTAGATCGTTGGATTTCCAACCGGTAAAAAAAATTTGAATTTTAGTTTTGATTTGGATCGTCTGATCACAAATCAACGGTCCACGTTTTTCCCCCAACAATTAAAAAAAAAAAGGCCCAACGCTCAAAATTATGACTGTTGGCCACATGGCACCTTATAGGCTGTTGGATTTTAATATTTTTCAAATCCAACGGTCCAGATTAATTAATAATTAAAATTTATGAAAAAATAAAAAAAAATACAGAAAAATATTTTATTTTATTTTTCTATAAATACCTAACCCTCATCTTCCACCTTACACCACATTTCAATATTTTCTACACTTTCTACATTTCAATATTTTCTCACTTTGAGAGAAAAAAATGACTCCGTGGAAGCTCATTGAAGATGTTACGTTGTGTGAATGTTGGGTTCACATAACTCATGACCTGATTACAGGGTAATGAGATGAATAAGCAAGAAATGTGGAGTAAAATTACGAAAGTGTTTTGCGATGTGCACGGAAAAGATGCCATAAGTAGTCAAGGTCTTCAAGGTCGTTGGAAAAAAACTCAACGCATCCTTTACTTGTTGGAAAAAACGCCATCTGCTTCTTGTAATCTGCGCAGTGGGACAAGTTTAGCAGATCATGTGATAATATTTTTATTTATTTACATGTATTCCACCCGCATCAATATTTTAATTTATTTATTTATGTTACACCCACATTTTATAATATTGTCTAATCCCACATTTATAGACACTACAAGCACAAGCTTTCTACAATGCGAAGAACCACAACAATTCATTCAACAAATGGGAATGTTGGGAAATTTTCAAAGATTACCCCAGATACAAAATTGTGGCAACCGGTCTAGAAGTTGTCATGCACAGCATGGGTCTACATAGTTCGTCAGAAGCAGACACGGCCGAACAAGAAGGCAACACATTTGAAGACACAGAAGGGACGACTGAAGAAGTGCCGAAGACCCAACCGACTCGTCAGTCCCTCAGGCCTTAAGGTAAAAAGGCATCAAAGAAAAAAGGTAGTTCTTCCAAAAATGACTACACTAAATATATGGAGGAACTTGCTCGCCAAGGTGAACTGAACATGGCGCGGAAGCGGCTAGAGATAAGGAAAAAGTTGCTGCTATGGTAACAATATTAGCAACTACTGAGAGACATTATGCGGCAGCTGAGAGATAAAGAGAAATAGTTAATCAAGAGTACGAGATGATTAGAGAAGCACTTAATCGAGAAAATGAGGTGCTTAGAGAAGAAAGGATAGCTCAAGCAGATCGTGACATTATGAACAAGTCTCTGGTAGGACTGTTTCCGAATTCAAAATATTTTTGGACATCAGAAAAAAGAGACGTCGCGCAAAGGAGGCGTGCAAGAGATGTGGAAACAAGTCGAGGGGGTTATAGCTACACAAATCCTAGCAACGAAGATCCTAGCACCATATATCCTAGCTCCAAAGACTTTGTATAATTTCGTATTTATTTGTAGTACTTTATTTAGTTTCTTATGTAATTTTTATGTAATTTCATCTTTATTTTTAGTACTTTATGTAATTTCTTATTTATTTTTATTTATAGATGTAATTTCTTTTTTATTATTAGTACTTTGTGTAATTTCTTATTTATTATTAGTACTTTATGTAATTTTTTATTTATTTTTAAAACTTTATGCAATTTCAAATTTATTTTTTGTACTTTATTTAAACACATCAAATAAGATTACATAACCTCACCAAATAAACTAAAAAAAAAAAAAAAAAAAAAAACACCAAATAAAATTACATAAACTTAAAAAAATACACTTTATTCTTCAACCACAAGCTCATTTTAATTATCTTAACTTTCTTGCAATCCTCATTGGTGCTCAATCAAGTTGTTCTGGTGGGTTGCGTGCCATTATGACTCTTGCACATCAGTGTAACGTCCATCCCATTCTAACAGCTTATGTTGCACGGGTCTTCGGTCCGATCATGAGCACAGTAGATACGTGTTCTTGAGTTGTTCATCGGATCCGACTCGTATTCATCAATGGCTTCATAATCATACAAATCTTCCACAATCATGTTATGGAGAATAATACACATCATCATGATGGATCAAAGAGCTTCGGCATCAAACATTCTAGAAGCAGACTTGACAATCGCCCAACGAGCTTGTAGGATACCAAAACAACGATCCACATCCTTCCTACACCCCTCTTGACATTTTGTGAAGTGTTTTTCTTTTTCACTTTGTGGATGTGGCACTGTTTTGACAAACGTTGACCACCTTGGGTACATGCCGTCTGCAAGGTAGTATGGTCCCTCGTATTTATGGCCATTAACCCAATATGTGCATCTCGGTGATTTTCCTTGCAACAATTCGTCGAACACTGGAGATTGGGCAAGGACATTTAGGTCATTCTGAGCTCTTGGAACACCAAAAAAAACATGCCAAATTCATGTATCAAATGAAGCCACCACTTCCAAAATGATACTTTTGGCTCTTTTTCTGTTGCCATAAGCTTCTTGCCACGCACTTGGACAGTTTTTCCAAGTCCTGTGCATGTAGTAGATGCTTCCAATCATGCCAGGGAAGCCTTGCATCTTACCCTTCCTTAGAAGCCTTTGCATGTCCTTGTCATGGGTGTCCGAAGGTACTCATTGGTGTACAGGGCTTCAATTGCAAAGCAAAACCACATCAGGGACTCTAAAATAATTATTTTTCCCATCCCCGCGATCTCATCCACTTGATCTGCAAATGCTCCATATGCAAACATTCGCAAGGCAGCCGTAATTTTTTGCTCAGGAAAAAAACCTAGAACACGAAAAGCATCATCTTTTTGCACAAAGTATGGATCATGATTGCAAATAGCATTCACGCTTTTGTTGAACAAACTTCGTTGCATTCTAAAACGATGTCTAAAAACATGATAAGGGAATAAGCTGTTGGGAATAAAATAATCTTCCAAGAGATCTTTACCTCGTCTTTCCCTTTTTCTATCTAAGTTTGCGGCACATCTGGGTTTGGCTATCTGACCCACAGCTTCCATGACACGACATGAATGTGAGGCCCTTTGCCTTCTATGGTCATCATCCTCATCCTCCTCCATTTCAAAAGCCTCATCTCCACCTCCACCTTCCTCGAGATTGATCAATTCTTTCTGTTATACCAACAATCTTTTTTGCTGCTCCTCAAATTGTTTATGCACTTTCCTTGAAGAAGGCATTGTAAAAAAAACTCAAGATTTGAAAACGATGAAGAAGGATTCTGAGCTAAAAAGAAGGATTGAGTTTGGTGTGAATATGGATGTAGAGATGTAGGGTTTATATGGACAAAAAAAGAAAGGATGAGGCTCTAGACAATGCCATGTGGCACTACATGATTGGTTGAAAATCTTACCAGAAATCTATCCACAAAATAGTACGTTCGGATAATGACACTTGGCATAATAAGATTGGTTGAAAATCTTATCGTAATCTTGGCTAAATTATTGTAAACAGATAGTGACACGTGACACGTCGGGATTGGTTGCAAATCTTAGTGGAAATCTATTCACAAAATAGTACGTTCGGATAATGACACGTGGCGTGACGAAATTGGTTAAAAATCGTATCCGAAATTAAAACTGTTTTATTTATTTATTTATTCTTTTATAAAAAAATTTAAAATATTTTAAATGGACTGAGTGTCAATGCATTTTATAGGAGTGGAAATCGTTTATACCAACACATTTTTAGACTTTGTGCCAGCGCATTTTTTTAAGGATGGAGATGCATTTGGCCTATTACTGTTCATTGGGGTCTATCACTGTTCATTGAGTAGATAAATGCGCTGGGTGCTGGCGCATTTGTGTTAGGGGTAGAAATGCTATAACAAGCAATGCATAAGTCACTTAGTATTATAGTCTAGTAGTATTCCTCTTCACTAATAAGTAAGAGGTATTAAATTCGATTCTAGCTAAAGACGAATTTGAACAACATTATTACTAACTCATTGTGAGACTTAGTCCACTTATCATCCTTTAATATAAATAATAATTTTCGTTCAGAAAAACAAAAAACAAGCAATACATAAAGAAGGCGACTTTATAGTGCGCATATTTAGCATACACAAAAGCAAATTAAATGACAAATCCTAGCTTTTTCCCATGGCTCACATAGTTAATACTCCATCCATTTCATTGAATGAGTCTTTAAAATCTCTTTGACTTTCCACAGTGCCGAAAAGAAACGTAAACTACCGATTAGATGCAAAAGGAAAAGTCATTTCGAAAGCGACATGCTTCAAGGAAGCTACAGCCCTACAAGCAATATTGTGGAAAAAAACTTAGCCTCCCACCCATACCCACCATCTTCTCTCCATCGCAATCCATTCAAACCTCTGTCTGCGGTAGAAACCTAACCCTCCTAACAAAACCCTCCACCAACGTATTGCCTTTGACTCTCGCTGATTCTCGCTTTTTCTGGATCATAAGCAAAAAAAAGGTATGAACTTTTAATCCCCTGTTTTGGATCTCCTCTGTTTTTGCACTGTCTTGTTTTGTTTCAATGGAGTTTGATCACAGAAAAGTCCTAGCACAAACAAATTTGAGTGAGCAATTGGTTTGTTCAATTCCTTGTAATCCACATCTGAACAAAGGGGGTTATTGCTTTCAATCTTGTTTCAAAACCTGCCCTGATGTCTGTAAGAATCTTATAGTCTATGTTGGTGGTGAGCTTGCTCCTCCAATTGTACCATACCCTCCTCTGCCGCCATCTCCTCCGCTGCCACCGCTGAATGACTATGATTATCAGCCCGAATCTGAGCGGAAGCGTCTGATTGAAACGAGTATGACTATCACCGCTTGTATGGTTGGGGCTGCTCTTCTTCTCGCTATTGTTTTCTCACTTGTTAGATTTTATCGCCGCCGCCGTGATCATTCGACGAGGAGGAGTGGTTCTTTCCCGATTTTGTTTGATACCCAACAAGATTTTCTTGATGAAGATCATGGTCCTGTTCTTGATCATCCCATTTGGTACATCCACACTGTTGGTCTCCCACAATCGGTGATTGACTCCATAACCGTCTGCAAGTTTCGAAAAGATGAGGGTTTGATTGAGGGAACTGATTGTTCTGTTTGCTTGAGTGAGTTTGAAGAAGATGAGAGTCTTAGACTTTTGCCCAAATGCAGTCATGCCTTTCACATCCCTTGTATTGATACCTGGTTGAGATCACATAAGAATTGCCCACTTTGCCGTGCTCCGATTGTTTGTGACACTGCTACTGTTCAGGTGAGTGTCCCGGAGTCTGTTTCCAGTGGTTCGGGTTTGCGGGATAGCATTCAGGTGGAGAATTTGGAGGGTGATGAAGGGGTTGGAAGTGTTGGAAGAGGGACTAGTGATGTTGGGGTTGGAGATGATGGGAATTTTTGTGAAACTCGAATTGAGGGAAGAAGCATGGAAAATTCAAGGAAGGTTTTGCCAAATTCCATTGTTCCTGTGCGAATCTGTGATCCAAGAGCATTCAGTGATTTATCTGACAATCGACGTGTTACTGAAGAGGATGTTCAACCAATGAGGAGATCAGGTTCGATGGATTCATTATCTGCTTTGAGAATATATCGTGATGTGGCGAATGTAATTCCCAAAGAAGGAAGTTCGAATTCCCAATCACATGTAAAGAATATGAATTCGGGGATTGTTTCAAAGCATGGCAGTTCAAGTTCCAGCCTATCCAAACTAATGAGAAGCTCTTCAGTTGGGTTTTCTCTGCAGATGGGGCCAATATCAATGAAAAGGCCATTTGCATCTGGCAGGAAGCTTTTTTCATCCAAACATGGAAGGAGTCATAGCTCAATCCTACCCTTGTGAAGATTTGGGTACCCTTTATAATGTCTCAAATTTTGAGTCAGTTTCTAGCAAAATCAAGAAATCAATGGCCTTCTCAACGGCCTCTGCACCCTACCTACGTGAGAAAAACCAGCAAAGTTGGTATAGCGGTGTGTCAATACAAAGGACAGACTGAAGCGGGTTGTACGTTGAAATAAGGATTTTGGTACTGAAATTTCAAGTTTTTTAGGTTCTCAAAGGTTAAGAAAAAAGAAGATATGGACTGCAACAAGTGGTCTCATGTTATTGCTTCTTATAGTGAATTTTCTGTTTTTTTGTTTAAGTACGCATAATGCGTGAAATCTTCAAGACAATATATACATTGTACTACAGAAATTTGTCTTAACTGCTGCTGCTGCTGCTGCTGCAATATAAGCAAATTGCAACTTTGAATTATCCCTCTCGCTTTTGCTACATTACTTCCTCAAGTCTGCTTTTGCAATACTTCTGCATATTTGTCAAATGCCAACCTTTCATAGCCCTTGGCATAAGTCATTCCATAGCATTACGGTATGTAGAGGCACATATATGCTTAGGGAAATCGATTTCTCTTAAATGGTTTTTTAAGTTGATACTGATCGGTTGAAGTTTTTGGATTCCAAAAGCACTTGAAGTGCTTCATGTAAGAAGCACCAGTTATGTTCTTCTTGCAAGAAACACTTCAAGTACTTTTTCAGGGTTCACTTATATAGTTACTTAGGATTGGTTCCAAAAATATTTTTACCAAAAACGCTTTCAACCACTCTTCCCCTATGGGCGAGAGATTTTCAAAGTCCTAACGAAGTTAAATCCCTCTTACATGCATTTGTAATGTTATACAGTGCATTTCAAATCTCTCATCTTAACATTTTATGATCCACCTCGAAGGACTTGAAAATTCCTCGCCAAACAATGCCTTGGGATTCTTAGGTTAATTACAATCCGACGTGCAAGCTTTGGTGCTTCAAGGCAATGGCTGATTCAGGAACTTGATAGAAAAGCATCTGAGCAAGTCTTCAATGGATTAGTTGGGCCTTCTTGGAAGGGTCCACTTTAAATTAATCATGTAAGTAGTATTTTGACTTGGCAAATTGTCCAATGCGAACCGGTCTTTGAGGATCATTTGTGCGGACCAACGTAAATCGTTGGATTTAATCTGTCAAATCAACCAAAGCAAGCTTATAAAACCGGGCCATAAATAAATGCCCAAGGGAACCCGACAACACTTACAAAAATTGAAAGTTTTGCATTTAGTTTGTCAAGTCCTCCTCCGCCCAAAACTCTCACGCGAGCGAATTAAAATTTTTCATTTCAGCTTCACACCCAGCAACGTGTTCGAAACTCAGTCGAAGTTCCCCACTGTTTGTCGTCTTCGGCAGCACCTTACTTCGTTCGAAATTTGTCAAATTGGTTCGACACAAAGGACGTCCTACTTGCTTACTTCAAGTCGAGAGTCCTTGCTTCCTCCAAAATCAATAGTCCTCACTTCCTCCAAAATTGACGTCATACTTCCATTTGTTAACGTCGGGGTGCCCTTAGGCCTACGAAATGGTGTAGGTTGAGGTAAGGGACAAGACCAAGTAAGCCTAAGGCCATCTCTTACCGACCCGGTCAAATGATTAAAGGTAAAAAAATAGTTGGTTTTGACACGAAAACCGTTTTCAACTGAGGGCTAAGCTAAAGTGTTCGTGGGCCCCACCTGGCCAAACATTGGAGAACTGCCTAGCAGGCTGGCCAAGAGCAACCAACCAGCTAGCCCTGTAGCCCAACTTAAACACATGCTACCTAACATCATGCTAACGTCAGGTTACTGTTCGAATTTACTTTTTTTTTTTTTTTTTCATATAGATACCTAAGTGTTGTAGGTCTAATTGATTGAACTATATTTAGGATTAGAGAGGGGAGAGGGCCAACGACAAGAAAGAGAAGAGAGATGTAATTCTAAGGTGTATGTTGTATCACCCTATTGAGCCTTTATTATAGTAGTAGGATAGGTTAAATCCTTACTCTAATAGGATATTAACTACTAAAAGGAATATTCCAAGATATCCCCAGATACACTAGGATTTACACAATCACATTCCTAATCTAATAGGATTGCAACACTCCCCCTTGAGTGTGTAAATACTCAAACAAACTTCGCATCAGGTCTTCAATAGTTGAGGTAGAACAGTTGATGAAGTCGTTAGCACAATGGGCGAATGTGAGTCTCAAATTTAAAGTAAGTATGCACTGGTAGTAAAACTCACAAAATCTTGCTATGGTAAAACCTAAGGTAGGTGAAAACCCATAAACTAAAGAGAAAAGTGAGAAGTATGCATAATGTCTAAAACAAACGTCAAACAGGACGAAAGTAGTGAACTCAACAGAGTATGATCATCCTAGAATGGGTGCCTCATCAAAACCTCGTTAGGTAGCAAAAACTCAGTGAGAAAAATGCTCCTAATCATAGGAAAAAGAGTACATAAAGATCAAGTGAGTATGCTTCAGGATACTCCCTTTGAGTTAAACACAACTTCCAAATGAGAGAACTACAAGCAATTCAACTCAAATAATTTACGCATACTGATTCCTTGGATGAGCTTCTGAAAAGTAGACTTGGGTAATGACTTGGTGAAGAGATCGGCCAGGTTCTCCTGGAAACGGATTTGCTTGACTTCAATGTTCTGATGCTGTTGTTGCTGGTGAGAGTAAAAGAACTTTGGCACTATGTGCTTGGTGTTGTCTCGCTTGATGTATCCCTACTTTAATTGCTTGATACATGATGCATTGTCTTCAAAGATCATCGTAGGAAGGTCAATGATGGTAGTAAGACCACTAGTGCTTCATGCAAGGCAAGAATCTCAACATGGTTTGAAGAAGTTGCAACTAGCGTTTGCTTGGTAGACCTCCAATATATAGCGGTGTCTCCAACTGTAAAGACATAGCCCGTTTGAGAACATGCCTTATGTGGGTCAAACAGATAACCAGCATCTGCATAACCAATGAGGCGATAATCAACCTGAGGACCGAGGAGGCGGCAACTCTTCTCAAGGATTCACGGGTGTAGAATAAGCCCAAATCCGTTGTACCCTTGAGGTAGCAGAAAATGTCTTTAACACCATTCCAGTGTTTGCGTGTAGACGGATTGTTGTATCTAGCCAAAAGATTAATAGCGAAAGAGATGTCGGGTCTAGTGCATTGAGCCAAGTACAATGACGCACCAATTGCACTTAGGTATGGAACTTTAGGCTCCAAAATCTCTTCCTCATCCTTATTGGGACTGAAGGGATCTCGTTTAGCATTTAGAGTCTAAACAACCATAAGAGTACTCGAAGACTTCGCTTTATCCTCATTAAAACGTCGCAACACCTTTGGGTGTAGTTCGATTAATGTACTAAGATTTCATTCTAACAATGCTAGATCTCTCTAAGCCGAGACAATATCGAGTTTTTCCAAGATCCTTCATCTCAAATTTCAATTTTAAGTGAATGACAATTTCCTCAAGCTCTGTGAGAGTTCTGATGAAGTTCATGTCGTCGACATACACTACAACGATCACAAATCCGAAATGTGACTTTTTGATGAACATGCGTGGGCATAGTTCGTTGTTCAAATAACATTGACTTGTCAAATATTCACTCAGACGGTTATACCACATCTGGCCGGATTATTTCAATCCATAGAGTGATCTCCTCAATCTTATCAAGAGGGTGTTCCGTGGTCTAGAACTATTTGAACCAGTCAATGGAATTCCTTCTAGAACTTTCATGTAGATTTCTGTATCTAGATCCCCATAGAGGTACGTGGTTACCACATCCATAAGCTGCATATTCAGTTTTTAAGAAACTACCAAACTAATAAGGTAGCGGAACGTTATGACGTCCATTATGGGGGAATACGTCTCCTCGTAATCAATTCTAGGGCGTTAAGAGAGGCCTTGCGCTATGAGGCATGCTTTATATCGCACTATTTCATTCTTCTCATTACGCTTCCTCACGAAAACCCAATTATAGCCGATGGAGTAGGAGCTACGGGCCCAAACACCTGGTGTTTCGTAAGTGAATCGAGTTCAACCTAGATTGCTTGTTTCCAGTTGATCAATCCATTCTACGTCAACATTCATCAACGGAACGTGGTTCAATGTTATCACTAAGCATAATGTCGGTAGCAATTGTATACGCGAATGCATCATCGACAATCATCTCATTTCGATTCTAAATCTCATCCAATACTGCGTAGTGGACTGAAATCTCGCGATTCTCAAAATGTGGGGTTGTCTCATCTAAAACATGACTGTAATCTAAAATAACCTCATGCATTGGAACAGATGAGTAAGCGGTGGTTGGATTCAAACTAAGGCCACTAGTTTGTGCCGTTTTCCTCTTCTCGGGTCATGAATCTTTTGAACCAGGGGGTCTGCCACACTTTAGGGTAGGAGCAAATGATTGGCTAACCATCAGTGTACCGGGCTGCGTGGAAGGTGCAGTCGCCTCACCTTCGGGACAGTCCAGCCTTTCAAGGTAGTTTTACGGCGTATTTTAAGTATGTTCTTCCTTGTAGGTGCGTTTGTAGCGGGTATATGTGATCTCGTCACATTTGCTAGATCAGTAAAAACATCCGGCATGCTTTGCTCTGAAGATTTAGAATATGATGAACTTCAGTTTCAGACTAAGCAGTACAAGGATCTACATAAGATAAAGTGGGAATAATCCATGATAACTTGCAGCGTTCTACAGGAACGGTAGTGATCTTATTTCTCCTTAACGATGGAAAGGCTGTCTCATCAAAGTGACAATTTGCAAAACATGCGATAAAGATATCTCCTATAAAGGGCTCTAAGTAGTGAATAATTGATAGCGAATCATAATCGACATAGATTCTCATTCTTCTTTAAGGACCCATTTGGTACGTAGTGGCAGTGCTATTAGCACATAGACTGCACATCTAAACACATGTAAATACAAGATGTCAGGCTCGTATTAAGTAATTAACTGTAATGGTGAATGAGGTTGGGTAGTGATGGGCCTTAAGCAGACCAACATAGCTACATGCAATATTGCATGGCCCCAGGCAGATACTAGCAATTCGGTTTGCATAACCAAAGCCCGAGCTATCATTTGAAGGCACTTTAAGAAAGCTTCTGCCATGCTATTTTGGGGTACAGGATGTTCGACTTCAATCCCAACTGACATGCATAGTCGTCAAAAGTTTGTGATGTAAACTCTCCATCATTATCCAATCAAATTGACTTAATTTGATAATCAAGGTGGTGAGCTATAAGCTTAATGATTTTAGCTAGGAGTTTCACAAATGCAGCGTTGCGTGTGGACAATAAGCAAACATGTGACCAACGCGTCAATGCATCAACCAACACCATGAAGTATCTAAATGGTCCGCATGTTAGTTGGATAGGTCTACAAATATCTCATTGAACC